CCTCTTGACCATGGCACAAGGCACAGTCGGAACACTTCTGGCCTCTACCTACTACGTTTGGTACGGCAAGATCTGCGCCAAGCTGAGCACAGCGCAGGGCAAGGGTGTTGTCACCGCCTTCATTCTCATGTCGGATGTCAAGGACGAGATTGATTTCGAGTGGGTTGGTGTAGACACAGGCCACGTACAGTCCAACTACTACTCGCAAGGTGTTACAGTGTGTAAGTAGTCCTACAATCCGCCCAAGTCCCATCGTACAAGACTAACACGAATCCAGACACCAACGGTGAAAACCTTACTGTACCTGACTCCAACACTGTTGAATCCATGCACGAATACTGCGTTGACTGGAAGGAAGACACCCTTACATGGACTATCAACGGCAAAACTCAACGCACCCTGGAGCGCGAATCGACATGGAACAAGACATCTGGTCGCTACTCCTACCCTCAGACACCTGCCCGCGTCATGCTCTCCCTCTGGCCCGCCGGTCTACCCACCAACGAAAAGGGAACAATCGACTGGGCAGGAGGTGAGATCGACTGGAACTCGCCCTACATGACCAACGGATACTACGCCGCCCGCTTCTCAGAAGTCACAGTCGACTGCTACGACCCACCAGAGGGAGCCCAGATCAAGGGCAAGAAGACGTACAAGTACACAGACGAAGCTGGCACCAACAACACCGTCGCCATCACCGACGATGTAGTCGTCCTGGGCTCGCTCATGGGCACAGGCGAGAACCCGGGTGAAGCCAAGGACAACGACGACTCAAAGGCTACCGATGTTGCCATGGTACCTGGTGGTAACCCTGGAGGCGGTGCCGGTCGAGAAGTCGAGCAGACCAGCACCGCTGCGAACCCGAACTCTCCCGCTGCCGAAACCGGTTCTTCTAGTGGTGCTACCGCTGAAGGCCAGTTCATTCAGGGTGGCTCCAGCATGGGTGCTGGATCCGTTGTCCAGCCTGGTCTGAGCCGTATGGGTGGCTCCGTCTTTGCCATTGTTGTCGCTATCGTCGGACTCATGGCGTTATAGACGCATGTCCTTTCCCGCTGCATCACGCCTTTTTCATGTCTGCCAGTCTTTGCGGTTTTTGGAGTTCGATACCTTGCCTTGCAATTTTTGTTTACTGGGGAAAATGGGGGCCTCGTTGTCATGTTGTGCATAGTGCATGCAATTCCTTTTTGTCTGTGACAGTCTTCCTGCCACATCCTGTTTCCTTCTAGATTCGTTGCATATGCTCAATACAATCCGAAATGTAATAGTCTTCTAACAGCTTGTCAACATGCAATGCACGGAAGATCTTGAATTGGTTTTGGCTTCGATTATGGGGCGTGAGGAAAGTATCAGAGGCCAGAACGAACTGGAAAGAGCAGGCGAAGATCATACACGGCTTGATACTAAAGCAAGGTTCAGATCCGAAAAAGACAATGAAACGATAATATCACTCTGCAGTGCTCGATGCAGTGCAGCAGTGGCACGGTGAGCTAGTCCATTTCCGTCACTGCCGCATCATGTACAGGTAGCAGCCAGCCGTTACGGAAGGTCCATTGGTTCTCCCGGGAACTACATGCATGCCCCGCGCGAATGTGGATATGGGTACAACAATTCTCCACACAACTGCCGGAACGGTATTCGAGGTCAGGGTACCTGTAAGCGCTACACAATGGCGGTCCAGTAGTATTGGGCTTATGCTGACTATAGTGGAGTTTTCCTGCGAGCATTATATTACCATGTCGATGACTATAGCCTCGCAAGATGGGCTTATTGGGAACATCGAGCTGGGCAAGACTTGTCTAGTACCAGTCTTTGCATCATATCTGCTTGGCTGATGGGATGGTTTTAAACCCGGTACGCGTCCTGATTGCTAAAGGACTTTGCGTCCTGAGACACTACTGTGACCTGCGCTTCTGTTACTTTTGAGGAATCACCCTGCAGTTATTTTGCAATTCTTTCTCGTCACCATGTCTCTTGCGTTCTATGCTTTGCTGGCCGCCTTGGTAGCCGTAGCTGCCTATAGCCTACGTAAAGTCGGTCGAAGGCCAGCAGGTTACCCTCCAGGGCCACCGACACTGCCCATTATAGGAAACCTGCATCTGATGCCAAAGGGGAAGCCGCATCTCCAATTTCAGAAGTGGGCTGAAGAATACGGGCCAGTGTACTCACTCATCCTCGGTACAAAGGTCATGATCGTATTGTCGTCGGATCAGGCTGTAAAGGATCTGTTGGACAAGCGCAGTAGTATATACTCGTCGCGTCCGGATCTGTATTTGAGTAACATTGTGAGCGGCGCGTCTGAAGTAAGCGGTGGATTACGAATGCTGCTTATGGTAAGTCACTTTGAGACAATCACTTGATCAGAAGGCTCATTGAAGTAGCCTTACGGAGATACATGGCGCATGATCCGGAAGATCGTGCACAACAACCTCAACATCAAGGCAGCCAGGACATACGTTCCATACCAAGAGTTAGAGAACAAGGCCATGCTCGTGGGGTTCTTGGATAGTCCAAATCTCTTCACCGACCACATCCGTCGCTACACCAACTCATTGACCACGCAAATGATTTTTGGTTTTCGTACTATAAGTATTGATGATCCCAAGTTAAAGCAGCTCTATTCAGTAAGTTCATCCATCTCCAAGAACCTTCTGCTCATATATCTAACAAAGCTATCTCTAGGGATTCGAGAAGTTCTCAGAAATTTCGGGCAAGACAACAGCTGCCCTTCTCGATCTCTTCCCAGTACTCAGAGCATTACCTGACTGGGCGCTTCCTTTGCGAAAATACGCAAGAAACCTTCACGAGAAGGAGTGCGAGCTATACATTGGCCACTGGCTCAACGTGAAGAAAGCCATCAAAAATGGAACATCGAAACCATGCTTTTGTCTCGATTTAGTGCGAGCACAAGACGAAGAGAACTTCTCAGATGCCCTTGCTGCTTACGTGAGTGGTTCGTTGCTGGAGGCAGGATCGGACACCACTGCTGCAACGCTCATCGGCTGTAAGTAAACTGTACCCAACCTCCATACATTCTAGAGCCTACACTGACTCATACACCCAAAAGTCATTCAAGCAATGATTCTCTTCCCAGAGGTTGCAAAAGCTGCTCGCGAAGAGCTTGATCGCGTTTGCGGCGATCGTTTCCCGACATTGGACGACGCGCCAAATCTGCCTTATGTCCGCGGCTGCGTAAAAGAAAGTATGCGCTGGATGCCCACTGCCATCCTTGGTGTCCCGCACGCCGTGATCCGCGACGATGAATACATGGGGTATACGATTCCCAAAAACGCAGGCGTAATGTGGAATGTTTGGGCCATACATAACGACCCTACGCGGCATGCTGAGCCCCGCAAGTTCGATCCGCAGCGATATGCGAATGATAGCCAGACTGCGGCTGAGGCGGCGAACAATTCAGATGCGAGTAAGCGGGATCATTTTCTTTTTGGGGCGGGGAGGAGGTTGTGTCAGGGTATGCATATTGCGGAGCGGTCGTTATTTTTGGCAATCTCGAGACTGCTCTGGGCGTTTGAGTTTGAGCCGGGTAAGGGTGAGCATGGCGAGGTGGAGTTACCCGATGCAGATGACCTGACAGAGGGCATGTTGGTGCAGCCAAAACCGTTCAAGGCGAACATTGTTCCGAGGGATGAGGAGAAGGCGAGGGTTTTGAGGGAAGAATGGGATAAGATGGGGAGCTTGCTGGGTGAGGATGAGCAGTGGAAAGTGCTGCCTGAGGGGTTGATTTGGAAGGAGTATGATAATGCTGCGAAGACGGCATAAACTTTGAGAGTATATTCGTATCTAGAGAGGCTTATGCTTCGTTATTTTTCCAAAGAAATTCTGCACGGCACTTGGTACCTAGTTGGGTTAGCTAGTGAATGCTCAATCCTGGCTGAACACGGCTACTTACACTCCATATCATCACAGCCGCCGTCCTTGAGTATTCGTACACCGCACTCAGGGCAGGGTTGAGTAATACTACCGATGACCCTCAGCGCTTCGTCTTCCTCATCAACGTGACCTTTGATGCGCAGTTGATATGCTTTGCACGATTCTCCTCGATGATACGGTCGATCGCAGGGTACGCAGGACAGTGCTCCGCACTTGCGACATTTACAAATGTCCGTTGTATCTGGTTCTTCTTTGGCTGTTTTGCTTTCATCATCATCTGGCGTCTCCCCATGCACTTGTCCCTCATCACAAGACGAAGCTTGACACCAACGCCATCCTGGTGTGTTGTTGCCGATATGAATACGCTCAACTTTCTCGAAACGCGCAAACATGTTCTCGGAAGCAGCAGTCTTGATGTCGTCAGCCTTCATGATAGCAGGACATTCTGGACAGCGGATGCCAAATGTCTTGTTATCGTCTCCACCTATTCTTACGTTCGCGTCCTCGATCTGTGTGTCTACGTATCTCTTAAGACATGAATTACAGGTGTTTATGAGATGCTCGCATTCAGCAGAAGGGTTGAAGTCAGCAAAGTGACGCTCGTGCTTGGTTTCGCCACATGTAAGGCAATGGTAGCGGGCAACCTTCTTCTTCCTAGGAGTATGGGGATCTCTTTTTCTAATTCGTTTCCCCATAATCAGTCGATTTTATGGTATAGTAGTAGTGTGAGTGCGTGGGGATTCACGATACCAAGAAAGGATCGTTGTTAGCAAAGAATTTCGGAGTTTCTTACAATCTGGGAACATACTTATACAAAGAGGAGGAAGTTTCCGAAGAGACAAGGATGCGGAGAGAAAGTTACAGCTCGTTCTCGTTGAGCGCGATAAACCTCTCCAACCTCTAGATGGGCCAGAGCGAACCTTCGTATGAAAGACACTGCAAACCCCTGACAATATAGAGGAAGTTAGAGTTTTCTTAAGAGCCGTGTAGTAATGAATAGAATATAATAGACATCATCACCCAAGCTTTGACATATATTCTCCACATTTCAGGGTAGCCGGCGAGAGTCGCAGTGCTAGAGATTTATATTTCTTGTTATCTTAATCCATAAATCATCTCTCAGGGTTCCTATCAATCCACGCTGTATTTCCGAGTTTCCCCGAGAATGGGTACTGGAACACCTTCTCCAGAGTAGAGTACGGCTCATATTGCTTTCGGTCCATAACAATACTGACATTGCTCGCTAGCCGAGCAGTTTCATTCCACCCAGGTCCGTAGTCCTTGTACTCCGCCATCGTGGTATTGAAGTTCACTCTCTTATCCGTGGTACCCCACTCAATGTATCCATTCGGCTGGATAGAATCATCAAGATAGCAGTTTGCGAAGATAGAGCGATGTTGGGAGTTCCAAGGGCGACCGAGCGCGCATTTTCCGGTTATGGAGAGGGATGAGTTGGCTTTCTTTACGTCGGAGTCGTGGATGTAGACGCCGTATTTGTTGACAAAAGTTGTGTTCGTGCCCTTCCATGCTGTGATGCCGCCGCCGCAACTGCGAAGGGAGACGAGACTAGATTGGATCCATGCTGTGCCGAAGCCATAGAAGAAGTCTGTTTGTCCGGCGATTTCATTCTTGTAGAAGTATGCATTTCCTAGTTTGCCAACGTAGACGGTGTCTTGGTACGAGTAGAATCCGCAGTAGTAGAAGCCTGTGTTCGCGTAGCTTACTGAGACTGCCAGTGCCGGGCCGGCCGAGTAAGGCGCGTACAAATTGCTGAAGTCTATGTTGTACGCGCGGAAATCGGAGTTGCCGAATGGCGTATCTGCTGGTACGGGATTGCCAGTCGGTCCTGAGCCGGTCGTACTTGCGTTGAAAGTTGGCGCGACCGTGAGGACAGAAGTGTATGCGTTATCTAGCGTAGATAGGCCTGCTCCGGTAGCGTTACGCCATATAACGTTTACAGTGTTCTGGCTTTGATCGTTTGGGGCTTTTGTCTGACCAAACAGATAAACGGGGCCAGGCCGAGTGACGTTTACTTGCTCGGTATAGTTTCCAGGAAGAATCAGGATGTGATGTGGTGTCGTATCGTTTGGCAAGCTCAGCACTGCGGACTGAATGGTAGAGAAGTTCCGCCCAGGGCCCACGAGAATTGTGTTCTTAGGGCAACCGTCTAGTGGCTTCTTGGTCGGGTACTGGCATGCCTTCCGGTTTATCGTAGATATGGCAGCGCATGCCTCGAATAGGCCAAGGAGAAGAGTAGCCCAGTGCATGGTGATGAACCGAGACGTCTCGAGATGACCAGAATTGTGAAGAAAGCTTATCCTCGTGTCGGCGAGTGAGGAAGCTTGGCCGGCTCTTTATATCAGCCCAGTGTATCCTGTATGTCCAGGGTTAGGTCTCAAGATACCCATGATGCAGCATACCTGGTTGCCGGTGTGCCATTTAGCACCATTATCAGCCGCAAGTACGCCTCTAGTATCAATTATCCGTTCGATGCCTCCAATCAGCGTTACTTTTCAGTACAGCGAACGCGGGGAGTATCCACATGGAGAAATCCGGAGAACGTGGGGAAGAGGAGGAACATTATCCACCAATTAGCCCGAACACTAACGAGCCTCGGAAATGATCTCATGTCATCAAAACAGCCGACAGGCCGAGTTCTGGAGAGGGAATGAAGACCCAGCGTTGAGATTCGGAAGCCGTTGTGTTTATATGATCTATGCCGTCCATGAGGCTTTCGTGGCGTCGGTCAAGCTTCGGTGCAGGTCTTGCTGAAGCTTATTCTCGGATGACTCGATGACGCGTCCTTACCATGAACACAACGCAGCATACAGTAGAGTTATCGTGTCTACCTCAGGGAACGTGTGCATGGGGTGTATGTAAATCGAGTGTTGATGCATAGCTGTGCTGCAAGTGTAATGACGCGAGAGTCATTCCTTCGCCAAGGCTGGCTTCTTACTAACGGAAGCTCTTGACGATATCAATATCGCAACGCAAACGGTGACGAAGACTAATGAAGGTCGGAATTTTGGTTCAATACTGTGAACTTGAAATTTAGCTCATACTATGTCAGAGATGAGCCAGCTCGTGGTGTTGAAGAGGAGTGAGCTTCTAGTGCTACCTGAATTTGGCGCTAGAAAGGAAAATATGGGTCACTGGAGACGCGAAGGCCCGCCGACAGCTCTCCGCCCACAACTGCATCGTCAACCATCATCTTTCTCGACAACTGAGCATCTAGAACTTATCGCCACAATTTGCGCACTTCTTTTTTTCGATCTAGAAGCTAGCGACATCGTGATTGCCAGCAGCCGTTGATTCTGCGCTTCGGAAGCCTCCATGAGATCTAGCCTCACTATACGGGGCGTCATCTTTGCCATGTGCACTTCATAGGATTCCCCTGGCGTTCCTGAAAAGCCACAGCTATCGCGAATATGAGCCAAGTTGGAAGCAGAAGTACGCGCCAAGTGCTTTGGTGTTAGGCTAATAATGCCCAGCGATCACGACATCGCTCTTGACCTTTATGCGCATCGTTGAGAGGATCTACCAAGACAATCGAACCAACCATTTGCTTCACCTTCCTGTTCAGGGTTCTTGGAACTGGTCAGCTCTGAACACCACAAGCAACTCAAGCCTCGTTATGTTACAGCGCCTGCTGATCGCGACATGGTAGGAGTGTATTCGCAATTAATTTCGCGTGGCATGCTACAACGATGTTATCGCGCCATTACAGAAGGCTATATGACCCTACAAGACCCCGGCTATCTAGTGGTTGTCAGTCGCTCGCACAACTTCTGTCTAGAGGCCATCGGCGGTACTTCGATCACCAAACTGACGCGAGCTAAGGGTGCTCTTAGCAAAGGCTAAGCATGACCGCGATTCCTGACGACGACGCAAAGGTTGCGCGGTACACAAACGACGAGACCTCACCCCCACCGCCTGTTTACGAAGATGGTAGTGTACAGGAAGACAATGCTTATGTGTACGATGACTCTCAGAAGCTAGGCTACACAGCCACGGTTTTCGTGATCCTGAATAAGATGATCGGTACCGGCAGTACGTATTCACCACGCATATTCGCTCGAGTATCTGCTTAACGGTGTACAGTCTTCTCTACTCCTTCCGGTATCTTCGCTGTGACGGGCTCTGTCGGCGTATCACTCTTCCTTTGGATTATTGGCGGTGTTCTCACGTTTTGTGGGCTCAGTAGGTCGGATCTCGGTTTGTAACTGAACAAGTCGCGTTAATGCTGTGGCAGGTGTTTTTTTGGAGTTTGGACTTGCGATCCCACGTTCAGGTGGCGAAAAGAACTATCTGGAGCGCGTCTATCGTCATCCTAAGTATCTCGCAACATGCGTTCTTGCATCGCAAATGCTTTTGCTCGGCTTCTCGTCCGGTAACTCCTTGGCGTTCGGACGCTACGTACTATTCGCTTCTGGCTCGGAAGCACCCGATGGTTGGGCGGCGCGTGGCATAGCAATTGCTTGCGTGACCTTTTCTGTCGGCCTCCATGCGACATTTCCAAAATGGGGCATCCGTCTCTTCAGCGTCCTCGGCGTCTTCAAGGTCTTCATTCTCCTCTTCATCGTCTTTTCGGGCTTCGCTGCCCTGGCCGGCCATCTGAAGATAGAGCAACCGCACAATTTCGACAATGCATTCAGACTAGAAGTTGGTGATGGCTACGGTGGCGGTGGCTCCTACGAATACTGTCAAGCTCTGCTTCGTATCGTCTACTCGTACAAAGGTTGGGAAAACGCCAACTATGTGTTGGGCGAAATACGAAACCCGAAGAAAACCCTGGCTTGGTCAGCACCGCTAGCAATTGGCGGAACTACCATCCTGTATGTCCTCGCGAATGTGGCTTACTTTGCTGCGATTCCCAAATCCGACCTTGCAAAGAGTGAGGTCATCGTGGCTGGTCTCTTCTTCCGCAATGTCTTCGGCAACAGCGCTGGGGCGCGAAGTCTCCCGGCTTTTGTAGCCCTTAGCAACTTGGGCAATGTGCTCGCAGTTAGTTTTGCCCACTCGCGGCTTAACCAAGAATTCGCGAAGGAGGGCCTGCTACCATGGAGCCGATTCTGGTAAGTTTTGATTGCGAGATGCACATGAAACATACACTGACTTCGCCCCTTTACTTCTACAGGGCATCAAACAAGCCATTCAACGCGCCTGCAACGGCGTTGTTTCTCCACTGGCTAATTACAGTCATCGTGCTTGTTGCACCTCCTGCTGGTCCTGCGTACAACTTCATCACCGATTTGTATACCTATCCCGGCGCATGGATCAACGGTTTCGTCACCGCCGGTCTGATCTACTTACACTACAACAAACGTGAGCGCTGGGAATCGCCATGGCATACCTATCTTCCCGTTGCCGTTCTTTACTTGGCTGTAAACATCTTCCTCGCGCTTGTCCCCTTTATTCCTCCGGATGGCGACTGGAACGCAGATGGCTACCCATACTACGTGTTTCCGATTGTTGGTGTTAGCGTCCTGCTTCTGGGTGGATTCTACTGGGTATGCTGGACGAAAATCTGGCCGAAACTTGGTGGATACAAGATCGTCAGTGAACGCTACGAAGATGCGCAAGGCAACGAGCATGTGAAGTATGTCAAGTTATACACGAAGCACGATTGAGGACCACATAGGAAGTTGGTTCTCGATGTGTTCTTATCTGGGTTGATTCTACCGTAGCCATCGAACTGTTATAAGTAGTGTGGTCTGTGCATGCACCGCTGTCATTCAGGCTATCCATACTCCATTCACTTGTGGACGATCTTCAACTTCCTTGGTGCATAACTCCCGATGATCATAGCAGGCGAAAGAATGTCAAGCAATCTGGATGCTGTTTTATGAGGCAGAGGCAGAGACACTAAAGATTCCAGCTTAAATCGCAGTGTTTCTACAAAGGACTCTAGTAAGCGTATTGTGGTGACGCGACCTCAGGCAAATGTGGGGCCAGTTTATCCGGAAACGCGTTCCAACGCGCAGCGCGTTCAACACTCCGCGTTCAACACCGATTTCCATCTCACAAGCTAGGCCAAGTGTTCTCAATGCTGCCAGCGAATTCATGCAAATGTCATACTCCCGACACCCTGATGATTCGACATGTGGATCCCCTCGCACCTAGTTCTGTGCCCTTATGTGGCGTATCCGGGATAGGCAAAGGCTAGGCCTCCAACCGCCCAACCTGGAAAATATCCCTTTCCTGCTTCACCGTCCCAGGCAGCTTCATGCTGCCTGAGCTAGCGCATCAACGACTCTTGCAGTTCCAGAACGTGGTAGTCAATTCTATTTCTTTAAAGGGCTCCGGTTTTCCAACTCCTGTTTTACACACTTCGAACAAACCCGGCTGGACATTACGACTCTTTACTCGCTCAATGACGACGACGGCTGAGACTTCTAGCAAACCGAAGAATGAGTATCCCGGGCTTGGACTTCCTCTTCGTAACTGGGAATGGCGAAACTACGGCTTCTATCCCATTGGCTCCCATAGCAACTGCTATGGAAGCGACTCGGATATCATCACCGTTCGGGAGCTCGCTATGATGGACATTATGGAGAAGCTTACCGACAAAGTCGATTGGCACAAGAAGGTGTTCGATGACGCTATCATCGCTAAGTGGCGTAAGGAGGCCCTCTCCATTCCCGATGATCACTTTTGGCAACTGGCCGTTGGTGCGAAGAGACAGCGTTGGACCCATGACGATAATCGACTCGAGCTTCACAACGATTGGTGCAATCGCGAGTTGGAGAATATTCTAGACGAGGATACATTTAACACTGTACGTTACTTCTTGCCCAAGTCTCGATCTCATTACTCATCTTGAGCAGTGTGTTCAAGAGCTTCGTAGCAAAGCCAAGTATTTCGAGCAGTCGGGCATTATTCCATCTCTGGATGCGTGCGCCTCTGTGGCAAAATCTGACACGCTTGTGACGAGCGAGCTACACGCAAGTCTGCGCAAGGCCTTTGACGAGCTGAAGTCGGACCACGCTGCTTCTCCTGACTGGCATCCAAATTCGGATGATATGGTGCAGGATCTAGTACATCCATCCATGTATCCATTAGTGTACGGCCGAAGTTGTGGCTTTAGCGAAGAGCACGTCGGTGTGGCGAACGCCATCGAGTGCTGGGCTGGCAAGGGCGAGATCATTCCACAAGAACCCCCTGTTGAACTTTCAGACAGCGACCGCTACACTAACATTCCGCCTGAGTATTGGTCGAATACGTATCAATGGCTGCCAGCCAACGTCGCTTTCCAGAATGATGGCACTGTTAAATTCACCAGCTACATCAACAATCTGCACCCTACGAAATGTTCCGAAATATACCGTACCATCGAGAAGCTGGTCGAAACATCGCTACCTCTGTGGGATCAGTGCTTGAGACTGGCAGTCGGCTATCACAAGTTTGAAGGCGCCGGCCGTATGGATACCCGCACAGGTAAACCCGATAACCCTGAGTAAGTTCGTCAAACATTTGACACTTTTGCAGCTGCTAACCTACTGCTTTGGTAGCGATGAGAATGAGGAGAACTGGATTCCTGATCATAAGGAAGCGTGTGCTGATGCAGAGGTCAGCGAAGAACAGTTGAGGGATTATGACTACGACCCTGAATATTACGAAACTGAGGAGGAGCGTGCAGAAGCTATGTTGGAAGCCAAGTGGCAGGCTGTCCGCAAACCTCGCTTGCATCCAATTCCCTTCAATAACGTATCTTACATCCCACAATCAGGTAAGCGTCTTGCTGACAGGTATCGCGATTCGGGACTCCAGATCATTGTCAAGATGGCGTCGATCGAGCTCACGCCCGAGAAGCCTGAATTTCCCGTAGGCGGATGGCATATCGAGGGGCAAATGAACGAGCACATCTGCGCCACAGCTCTCTACTACTTGGACAGCGAGAACATCACCGACAACAGCCTTTCGTTCCGTATGCAGACTTCATATCACATAAACGATGACAATGACTACCCCGTTGGACAAGGCGCCTATCATTGGATGGAGGCGGTGTATGGCACCAACTTGGGTGGCGGCGGCTCGCCATGTTTGCAGAATTATGGAAACGTCCAGACGCGTCAAGGAAGGCTGTTGGCCTTTCCCAATGTCTTGTAAGTTGATTCTGATCATGCTCGAATGTGGGCCTTGACTAATGCTTGCAACAGCCAACACCGCGTTTCACCTTTCAAGCTCATCGATCCCACAAAGCCCGGTCATCGTCGCTTCATCGCACTATGGCTTGTCGATCCCACAAAACGCATCATCTCGACAGCAAACGTCCCACCTCAACAGATGAACTGGTACGTCGATTCGCTCCTTGGATCGAACAACAGGGCACGTGGAGAAGCATTGTCAAAGCTACCCCCAGAACTCATAAACCTGTTCGCGGAGAAAGGATTTGCTAGTGTCTCTGCAGCTAGAGAAGCTCAACTTCCTGAGGAGCTTATGGACTTCGTGCGCAAATATTTCGATGATGGCAAGCACTCGCTTCCCATGAGTTCTGAAGAAGCGAGTGAACATCGTAAGAAGCTGATGCGGGAAAGGAGCGCATTCGTCCAGACCTCAGGAAAAGGATGGCAGAGGCCAAGTTACAACTTCTGTGAACATTGAGTCATATGTATCACTTAATAAGAAACTGAATTGTAGCAACAACATATTTTCTTATGCTCTAGAACCTGTCGAATCTGCTGATATGCAATCCCTTCTGTCTATAGCTTTCCTGTTAGACGTGAGGTCATTGGGATCACTATCGGAGTACCTCACCCCATTCGTTTTCACGGACACGATTTCTTCGTCATTGCACGGGGTATAGGAGATTACACCGATAATGTTCCTCTTAAGCTTGACAACCCGCCGCATCGCGACATCGCCATGCTGCCAGCTTCGGGCTACCTCGTCATGACTTATGCAATGTCACATTGGTATGTTTTCCTCTTCATTTGCAATCAAATCGCTGTACTAACATCTACACAGGCTGGCACATATCCGAAGGATTTGCGATGCAGTTCGTGGAGCAGTATGACAAGATTGCAGGGTTGACCGACCATGATGCGTTGAAGAGCAACTGTGATGGCTGGAAGGCTCATAGCCAGTCTGGATATCTTGCAGGATGATTCTGGCGTGTGAGGAATAGGCTACTTGGTGCGCACCGGCGCGTGTAGGCGTTGTAGCGTTCTTGCCCTCTCAACCCTCTTTTTAGCCTGATCATAAACCTTGGATAAGCCTGTGGGCGGAGTTTTGTTCGCTTCGAATTAACTCTTTTGTTCTACAATTGGTTGCGTGATTCCTCGCGATGTTCTGCTTACAGAGCAAAGAAGCCGACCCCGCCTTAGGGGCGTGCGCGGGACTGTACCTAGGTAATCTAGCTCCACCACAAATCCGTGCCATCTCCATGATAAGTCCGATTTGACTCGGCCAATCATCCGGAGCACAATCGTCATTCCCCAGTCAGCCGCGTTTGAGCGACTTCCAACGCGCATGCCGCGTCGCGTAGCATAGTCATCTATAGTCATCAGCAGCAAGCATGCTCCAGAAGACCGCAACCCGCGGATCTGCGCTATCTCTGGCTACCTAAGCTCTGGGTGTCTATGAGAAAATTTCCTCCAATGCGCCGATGGCAAAGAGGGCACCGCAAATATTGACAGGGGGACAGTCCCACAACGAGTAGTGGGATAGGTAATGGACCTGTATCTTACAGAAGAATGACGCACCAAAGAATTGCCTTAGATCTACGAGTACGCGTCGAGAATGACTTCATCACGACAATTACAAGCCTGGAATATTTGCATAAAAATGGCGCCCATTCTCCAGCAGGAAAGCTCTATCACAGACAATCATAGACAGCACTTTTGTACATACAAAAATGGCTTCCGTATGTGTGCACCTTGATGTTGGTTACATCGTAGCTAACGGACCTATTGCAGCAAAACACCGATGCGCCAGTATATACTCTGGCTGAAGGTAAAGCCCTCGTATGTGATTCTTGAGTCAGTCGCTCACAAGCATGTAGGACGTCCTGTTCAAGATCCAACAGCCCAGACGGTACTTCGAGGCTCGCCGCTCAAAGGTGGTGGTCTCGCTCTACTCTCAGACACTCAGCTCATTGAGACGCTTGCGCACTTTCCCCGCGAAAGGATACCAGAGAGGTATGTTGATAACGCACGATCTAATACATGCTTCATACGTTGACGCTTTGCAGAGTTGTACATGCAAAGGCTGCAGGAGCATGGGGAGAGTTTGAAGTCACTCACGACATTTCGCACATCACATCCGCCAACTTCCTGAACAAGATCGGAAAGAAGATCAAAGTCCTAGCTCGTATCTCTACCGTCGCTGGATCGAAGGGATCTTCAGACACCGTCCGCGACATCCGAGGATGGGCACTGAAGTTCTTCACCGACGAGGGAAACTGGGATATGGTTGGAGATGACCTACCCGTCTTCTTCATCCGCGATCCCGTGAAATTTCCATTTCTAAATCGCTCCCATCAAGCACACCCGCAGACACATGTCCCGGACTCTACTATGTTCTGGGACTTCCACAACAATAACCAGGTAGGTTCACTCATCACATCAGAGTCACACCTTTAATACGTCCTGTCATCTACTCAACTCAGTCTAACGATGTCTAGGAAGGAATGCATGCGCTCATGCAATTATTTGGCAACCGAGGCGTGCCGGAATCTCTGCGAAACATCACCGGCTACGGTGTCCACACTTTCAAATTCGGCAAACCTGAAGATAGATCTTTCAAATACGTAAAGATCCACTTCAAGCCTGATGCCGGCAACGTTACTATGAAGTCTGCAGATGCAGCGCGACTTGCAGGCGAAGAGCCAGATTACCATGTTAAGGACATGTTCAATGCGATCGAGAATGGTGACTTTCCCACTGGACCATGATGCTCCAGGTTATGGATCCCAAAGAGGCGGAAAACTACCGCTGGAATATTTTCGATGCTACTAGGATCTGGCCGCACGCGGACTACCCGCCCATTCCAGTCGGCAAACTCACGCTAAACAAGAATCCCGCGAACTACCACCAAGATGTTGAGCAAGCGGCTTTCTCGCCAAGCACGTTAGTACCTGGCATTGGTCCATCAGCAGACATCATGCTTCAAGCAAGAATGTTCAGCTACCCAGACGCGGCCCGTTACCGTGTTGGTCCAAATTACCAACAACTGCCATGCAACAGGGCCAAGAACGTTTACAGCCCCTACCAACGCGACGGTCCTATGAGGATGGATGGAAACTATGGTGCCGACCCCGACTACGTCCGCTCCTCATTTCGTAAGATTCAGTCCGGCCCACCGGATGTTGCGCACGACAAGTGGGTTGGTGAAGTGAGCTCGTATACATCCGAGGTCACGGATGAGGATTTCGAGCAGCCGCGCAATCTGTGGGCGTTGTGCAAGAAGTGGGGCGATGACCAGATCTTCATTGACAACTTGAGCGGACATATGAAGAAGGCGTTGCCGCAGGTGCAGAGGGAATCGATCAGTAAGTTGCTTCGTGAGACACTACCTCGAGAACTTATAAGCTAACGACAAGTAGAAATGTTTGCCAAGGTCGACAAAGAGATTGGTGAGAGGCTCGAGAAGGCATTGGGTGATTCGCTGTCCATGAAGAATGTGGACCATGCATACGCGACGTATGGCCTGCAACCAACACTCGGCGGTGGATACTAGAGCAACACTGGTAACAACTAGTGATATATGAGATAATTATTCATTTCGTTTACTTCGTTTGTCGTCATGACCAACTTTCAGATGTTGGTATCGCTAGAATATCAAACCTTTCAGATCAAACCCTCAAGCTCGCTACGTTATCCTTCAAGAAATTATATGTATCACTTCTGAAGTCATCGTTCAGGTAGCTGTTGCTGTTCGCGCCAAAGTTCACCAACTTCTTGCTTTCACTCCACCTTGGCCAGTTCATCAGTCCACTTCCCTCATTGGGATCCAAGTTGTAGATGAAGGAGTAATAGTAACCCCTGATAGACTTGGCGGCGTTGTTTGGCAAGATACCATTGAAGACTTGAAGGATATCCGAGCCATGGAATGTCCCTAGGATAGGCGTGCCATAATCGTACGTCGCAAGGTAGGACCATGACGGCACACTAGGGCTGACTTGCGCAGCGACTTCTAGAAAAACGCGACGTGTAAGAGTGAATGTCACGTCGCCGAGGATAGCGGAAATGCGCTTGAACTGCGGGTAGTAGTTGTTGAGGAGGCCAGTTCGGAAAGGTGATCCGTCCTCCGTGATAGTTTGGTAACTGCCAACCAATTGTTGAACTTGCGCTGGCGAAGCATTGTTGAAGAAGATAGTTGAGAGATACGTCGTGACCTCACTGGTGGTGGTAAGATTCGAAGTGAAAAGGCCAAAAAGGGTACCCTCATCCTCTTGGTCGCCAACAATGAAGGGCACCTTGGCGTACTTTCCAGCCTTGACAAGGGCATCGGGGGATGCTGTTAGGGCTTTTCCATCTGGTCGTGGTAGATAGGAAAGATTGACTGTAAAGTAGCTCAAGATACCAGGAACAGTATTTGCGGCATTGAGGAATTTCGTGTATGGAACTGTACGGAGGCATGCCAAAGTATCGGCGGAGCCAGCGCATCCAGCTGCTTCGACAACCTGTGGTGGTTAGCAATGGTCCTCCGTTTTCTCCAATAAGAATAAGAACTCACTCTATTGTAGATAGCCTGACCCTTGGGGCAGTCCACGGGATCGGCTGGCACTATCGAGCCCGAGTTCATGATACCAGCTCTGAAGAGGGGCTTCCCCTTGTAGCTATTGTCGCCGTCGTACAGCATCATCTGATCTAGTACAGAAATAGCACCTGCACTCTCACCCCAGATTGTCACCTTCTCGGGATCACCTCCAAATGCAGCTATGTTTTCTGCGACCCACTGTAGGCCCAGCCTTTGGTCGAGAAGCCCCAGGTTGGCTGAACCATCTTCCAACACCTCTTTTCCGGGCATGAAGCCAAACCCGCCCACGCGGTAGTTTACCGCAACAAAGACGATGGGCTTGCCTTGAGCAACCGACTCGGCTACAAGACTGGCTCCGTCGTACATTGCAGTAGATCCAAGTTCGAAACCACCACCGAATATCCAGAATAGTACGGGAAGTTTGGCGTCAGCCTTTGTACCAGCTGGCCGCTGAACATTGACAGTGAGGCAGTCTTCTCCGGCATTGGTAACGGTTTGAAGGAGTGGCAGATTCAATATGGTTCCTAGAACGTTGGTTGGAATGTTCCTCTCGTCTATGCTGAAGAAGAATTGTGGGCATGCTTTCGGAATGCCAGTGCCATCGACTTTTCCTAGGGAGGAAGTCAATGGCTGAGGTGGTTTCAGTCGCAGCTGATCAATCGGAGGCTGTGCATATGGTATGCCTTTGAAAGATTCAACATTCGCGATGCTGGTGCCAGCAACCGTAGCTTGAGGTGAAGGAGCAATAACGGTGGGATTTGCACGCCTTTCCAGAGGTGCTGGGACTGCAAGAGCCAAAGGAATCAATGGTAGGAGTATTGTGAGCTTCATGTTGAGGTGAGTATGTGTTTGACTCCTGTTGTTCGAACCAAACGAAGATTTCGCTCTTGAAGACTGCTTCTACTAACACTATCCAACACGCGATACTTAACCATCTCGGTAGAGCAGATGTCACAAGCCAGGAACAGCTTTTCTCGCAACGAACCTCGGACGGTACCCACGTCGACTACGTCCGGTCGATGAATTAATCGGGAAGAATAAACACGAGCTCGATGTACTCCGTGGCTGCAGATATACCCATGCTCCAATAACATCTTGCCGGATTTTTGGGTCGCAGATCGCACTCCTTATGGTGGAAGTGAGCTCTGACAGCCTTGTAAGAATGATGTGGTGTGTAGAGGTAATCAATTTCGACCTATCAGAAAACGTAATTGAAAAACTCGGCCAGGGGAAAGAGCCTGAATAGGCTTGGGCTCTTGGTAGCTGACTCCCGGCGCCTATCCACTAGGTGGTGGATCATGAGGTGTCGGCGCATTTAGCGGACGAGTCGCACGACACAGATCATGCCTAGGTAATTTTTAGTTTTGTAACGACGCGAGTCTTTGCAAACATCGCCCGTCTGGTCTTTCCTTTCGGCATCTTCAACGGCAATCGATTTGACTCAAATACAACATCCGCCAAATGCGTACTGCAAAGGCGCCTGGTTTAGGATCTCAATGCCAAGGGTGATGTAAACTGCCGAGACGCAGACGGATGCATTTTCCCGGTACATGGTGTATCGACTGAATCGTCGTCTTCGATCTGTCCGGAGACCAGCCGGAAGTCGTTGGCTCGTATTCTGTTGACGGAGATGCTGCCATTCATGGGTGATTACTTGGTACCGCGTGGACAGAATGCGGGGTATTCAAGATGGATTTCCCCACGATTTCGGCCAATCTATCGCCCAATGCATTCCTCTTCGACGCCTCGCTGACCACAGCAGAACCTCGGTGCGCCGTAAAGTTTGCGCAACATCAGATTACATGTGAGAATGTTAAGGGTGGTCTGGAGGACTCAGCGAGCTACGTCAATCTCGGTATACCTAGGCACAGCCTGGTGGCCGATCGCTTTGAAGCCAACAATAGCTCTTGGCACTAGTGGAGCGTATTCTCCGTATTGAACAGTCTCACAAATCGTGGTCAACGGGAGTTGCCGTGGCATCGGTAGAGAGGTGCGCTCCCCGAGATCGGGTGAGAGGATCAGAACAAATGACTTGTTGTGGTCGGCATGCACTCCGAAAGCTCAGTGAAGGAGCAAAGAAAGATCGAAAAGAGTGCTCTCAATTTTCCGATATCGAGAGCGCGCACACTGGTGGTGAGATGGATGTTCAAAGCTTTGATGCGTAGAGATCGTGTTGGGATTAGAAGCTAGTGCAGTGTTACTAAGCCATACATTCAATTGGAAGAGCCCTCAAACTTTACTTGCGATCAGGACTTTCTGGATCTTATCACAACATGCCTACAACCGCGATTGGGTTATCCGAGAGGCCTTCGTGCTAAATCATTCTAGAATGGCACACAGATGAAATCAGGCTGCCTTTGGAGTTGATTCCACCATGTCAGCCTCGTCTCCGCTCTCCACTCGCTATTTTCGGCATGACAGTTCAGCCGCACGACAGTACATGGATGCGATCGTCGCATGCTGCCATCCCGCCACCAATGAGCATAGAAAATTTTCATTCCTGAGATGATTGTGCAAGATTATGCATTGTGTCAAGATCTGGGTAAAGAGCGGGCCTTAAGGATAAATGCACTTTGGGATCGTTCGGTGTCCTGTTCTGTTCTGGAATCCGCGGAGGCGCCATGCAAGCTTTCGCTACGAGCGCGGGCCGCTTTTTCTACGCGGTGTTAAATAGCGTTCCTACGTCGGGTTCACAGCACTTCTCGAAGCCTTATGGAACATGTCAGGGCTACTCTACATTTACGAGCTGAAAGAGCTTGAAGTCCTTGCGATAGCAGGCACAAGTCGGCTCTTGCATAGATCCAATCATGAGCAATGATCGCGTCCTGTGCTTGCAAGCGCGTAATCAATCCCCCTGTTGTTGGGGGCCTGAAAAGTACAAGCAGATATCCTCTTTAATTTTCCTTCAACGCGCTTTTTCACCGCCACAATCACGATGCCAGTCGTGATCGAGCCTCTTCGCATTCAATGCCAATGTATCGGGTTTTCTGAATGGATCTCGTTGTTCACTTTGTGTCTAGCTCCTTTGATCGCCGTAAGTTGTTCTCAAGTCGTGCTTTTCCAGCAACGAAATACTAACGGTTGTCCCGCTTCAGCATCTCATATCCGGGACGCCTACGACGTCGTATCTTACTGATCGACGCCCTAAGTGGTACGATCGGTTGTGTAGCTATAATCCAACATCCATCATCTGGAGATACGCTGCGATCACCGATCGGCGCATTCGTGCGATTCAGTGGAGTCGCCGTGACCTAGCAGCTACCAATGCGATATTCTGGACCTCGGATGGATGGAATGGTGGGGAAGAGATGGTCACGAGCTCTGCTACGTACTGCTTGCGTTATCCAGAGAGTACCCGTGTTGAAATACTCTCGTTGACGATGTTGAAGACTGTCATCACAACACTTCAGGGTGCATCAGCATTCTACATACTCGTTGGTAGTGTTGCTGGGGTTGCACTTCCTGGTGTTGCTATTGGGTTCGGCGTAGACACTCTCTTCTTCCCTCTGTCCATATTGGGTTGTTTGCGATTGTGTGCTGCCGCTTGGCTTACGGACGACTTTGTTTACCAGGGAAGCGGATTGCGAGATACCTCATTCACGGAGTCAGCAGGGCCTGTTCGTCAGAGTACTATGGCCAAATACGATGACATCGAACTCGATCATCCCCCGAGAGCGTTGGACCCGCTGATAACGATGCCATCAGAGACATCCAGGTTCCGGTCAGTAATGTTTCTGTCGGAACTGCATTGAAAACAAATACTGACTTTGTACACTCCCGTTTAGATCTCCTGCAAACTCATGGAGAAGCCGTTTTTTTCGCATCACCTTCCTGCTTGTGTTCGGCGGCGTCTGGATAATAGCTCTTTTCATCATCACCCCGGCCCTAGCTCCAGCAGACACGTATGGCTACACGATGACAACGTTCCTTCTCGGGGTGTTCTACTTCATCTTCATTACCATATCACTAATCTTGTACACCTTCTATTTCTTTCGTGGTCAGACTACAACCACGATCATACCCTGCGTCTCCAGCATGTGGTACAGGCTCTACAGTGTTCTTCTCACCGGCTTTGTGATGGCTCTCGTCATCATTGCAAGCCTCGAAACGAACAAAGATCCCAGCGGTGTATATACGAGTGCGAATATGGGAACCAGAAATTCATGCGTAAAAGTAACCCAGGGGTGGGAATTGCCAATGGGCAGCCGGTGGGTAGGACTTGCAACGGAGTGGGACCTTGGAGGGAGCTGGTTGTCGCGGAATAAAACTAGCCTACCGGTCAAGGGCTTGCAAGAAACGGGGCCTTTTGCGCAGAAAGAATTCTGGTTGTAAGTCATATCCCTGTGCGAACTGTTTGGAACATACACTGACTTCGTACGCTCACTTGTTTAGGTACAATTTTACGGGCTATTGCTTCGGAAATATGAACGATATGTAATAGATCGCGTCGGTGCTACGCTTGTTGGTGCGGTCCACGGCCTCATCAGCTGCTTGCTACCAGAAGTACTACATGCTTCAAAAATAATGTTATATCGAATAAATGTGTGTGCATCTTGGAGGACTTTTTGATGATGAATTGAAACGGGCTAGCGTCATGACGTAATGGCACCTGGGCCGAAACGGTCCCCCAAATCGGCTGGTCGTGCTAATGTTCGTTTGTGCGCTTCAGCTACACAACAACCGTGACGGTGCCCTTGACCAGCCCTCTTCTGTCGCGCATGGTAGAAGGCTTATGATGCCGAATTCTGCCTGAATCAGCGCAAGACCCCACTATCCTGCCGAGGACTCTTGGACTAGCTATTGATGACCTCTAACTACTAACAACCCCACGTCTACACACGCGGCTTGCAGTAACCATGCCGAAATCCACAGACATTCCCTCGTTCGCTGCGTCGCAGCTCACGCTCCTCGATGCCGAGCTTCAAGCCGAGCTGTCCGAAACAAACGCGCTTCTCGCCTCGCACACGCCTACCGCCCTCTCACGCGCCGGCCTCGCCATCCTGAACCTTAATGTGTCTTCTATACGGACAGGGCTGGGCGGCAAGACCGTGGTCGAGCTTGGGTTAGATTCGGCAGTTGTGGCTAAAGGCGAGAAGCCCGATATCCCGGAGCACGGCATACGTGTGGGTGATATAGTCGCGGTCCAGGACCAGCCTAGCGGGAGCGCAAAGAAGACGGAAAAGAAAGAGCTAGAGAAGAAGGGTGCCGAGGGGGTCGTATTACGGGTGCGAAGGGAGAATATAGAGATCGTGTTGGACAAAGAGGATGCAGATGTGCCTACTGGCGGCAAGCTATGGATGTTAGTCTACACGTCGTGGACGGTTGTGTTATACACGACAAGGCTGATATATGTACTAGAGTCAAATTGGCCAACGACGTCACCTACAAAAGGTACGTCTTTTCTAAATACATTCTTTCTGTAGCTACTTCGACTTATGCATGATAGGATGAACCAAACGATGAGCAGACTACAGAAGCTTGGAGATCAAGAGTACACCCCCTTCATGCGCGTACTCTTTGGCCAAGCATCGCCTACACCTTTACCTTCAGATCTGAATGATCCGTCAAACCCTCTTCACAATCTCGAATGGAACGATCCAGGGCTCAATGACAGCCAGAAAGAGGCGATTAAATTTGCGCTGGCTTCGCGAGAAGTCGCGCTAATCCATGGTCCTCCTGGGACAGGCAAGACACACACTCTTATCGAGCTGATCTTACAGTTGCTCAAGCAGAAGCTCCGTCTGCTAGTATGTGGTCCATCCAATATATCTGTAGACAATATCGTCGAGCGACTGGCCTCCCACAAGGTACCTATGGTGCGCCTAGGACAT